ATTCTTTCCAATTACTTTATGGTATCAGAGCATTCGGCTTATTCCTAGCCGAACGAGTCCTTCGATGGCCGGTGGAACCACGACGACTCCAACTCCTCAGAATCCAATCTACGCACTCAGCCCTAGCGATAACCCGGGGACGACAATTACTCATGTCATCTTGAAGGGTTACAACTACGAAGAGTGGGCAAGAGCTTTTCGTATCTCTCTGCGTGCTAAACGCAAATTGATGTTCATTGACGGAACACTCAAGCAACCGGAAGAGAATTCCGCTGAGTTAGATGACTGGTGGACTCTAAATTCGATGGTTGTTGCTTGGATATTTAACACAATTGAACCGGCTCTTCGAACATCCATCTCTTACCGGGATGTTTCTCGTGACTTATGGGAGGACATTAAGCAGAGGTTTTCCGTTGGCAATGGAGTAAAAATCTATCAAGTGAAGGCAGAACTTTCTGATTGCAAACAGAAGAATGGAGAAACCATTATGAGCTACTATGGGAGGCTAAAGAAATTATGGGATGATATGAATGACTTTGATCCCCTTCCAACTTGCGAATGCAGAGGCTGTAAATGCGACCTGACAACGAAACTCCGTCAACGGCGTGATGCTGAACAAGTTCGTGAATTTCTCATGGGTCTTGAGCCATTTTATGCCAATGTTCGTTCGAGTCTTCTGGGAATTGAGCCACTGCCATCTCTTAATTTGGTCTACTCACGTTTAATCCAAGAGGAAGAGGTGAGAACCATTACTGGAGGTCAAATTGAAGGTGTGAATCCTATGACTTTTGCTGTTAAAGGTGGAGCATCTAATGTTCATGGTTCAGGGGGGGCTGCCCGAACTGTGATGGTGTGTAACTACTGCTCAAAAACGGGACACACCGAAGAACGTTGTTTCGTCAAACACGGATATCCTGAAGGGTGGCTTGAACGAAGACGCAACAAGGGCAGAAACAGTGGCTCTGGACAGCAGGTGAAAGCCAATGTAGCTCACACAGGAGACATTGGAACTAACCTTGGTGAAGTTCGGTTAAATGGTAAGACAGAATACCGTTGGATTATTGACACAGGTGCTTCGCATCATGTGTGTGGCAATGCTTCCTTGTTCATGTTTTTAATTGATATCAGGCCTACTGACATTGGACTTCCCAATGGTTCATCCATTAAGGCTACTAAATTAGGCAATGTAAAGATAAATGCTCACCTCACGTTACACAATGTCTTATTTGTGCCAGAGTTCACTTGTAATCTGATGTCGGTCTCTACTTTGCTCAAAGACACTAGAATTAGTATTCAATTTACTAATGCATATTGTGTTATACAGGACCGAGCCTCGATGACCAAGATTGGTGTGGGTGAGCAGTTGGGGGGTCTCTTCTATTTGGCAATGGAGGAACCAGTTCGTGTCAACAAAGTATTGTCCCTTGATTCCAGTGATTTATGGCATGCTCGGCTTGGACATCCTTCATTGCAATTTTTTGAATATTTACCTCAAGTTAGTGGTCAGTTACCAAATGTCAAAAGTCTTGCTAATAAACCGTGTGATGTTTGTCATCGTGCTAAGCAAACTCGTTCTACTTTCTCTTTAAGTACAAGTAGAGCTGTTAATTTATTTGATCTGATTCATTGTGATATTTGGGGACCATACAGTGCAAATCGTTCTTGTGATTCCCGCTACTTTCTTACTATTGTTGATGATCATTCACGTAGTGTTTGGGTCTATTTGATGAAAACCAAGAGTGAGGCATCTATTTTATTACGCAATTTCTTCTCTTTAATTGAGAGACAATTTGACAAGAGGATAAAAATTTTTCGTAGTGACAATGGGAAAGAATTCATGTCCCTTAGCACTTATTTTTGTGAACAAGGTGTCATTCATCAAACCTCCATGGTTAAGACTCCTCAACAGAATGCTCGGGTTGAGCGCAAGCACCGTCATATTTTAAATATAGCGCGTGCCTTGCGTTTTCAAGCTAATTTGCCAATTGATTTTTGGGGAGAATGCGTCTTGACCGCAACTTATTTAATAAATCGGACACCTTCCCGTATTTTGCAAGGCAAATCTCCTTATGAGCTTTTGTTTGGACGTTTGCCTGATCTTAGTCTTCTACGTGTTTTTGGTTGTCTTTGCTATGCCAAAGAATTGTCCCCAACTGATAAATTTGCTAGTCGGAGTCGTCGTTGCATTTTTGTGGGATATCCTTTTGGTAAGAAAGGTTGGAATTTATTTGACATTGAGAGCGGGGCATATTTTACCTCCCGAGATGTCATTTTTTATGAGGATATTTTTCCTTTTGCATCGGGAAACATTTTGTCTCAACCATCTTTTATAGAGGCACCAGACAGTTCAATATATGACCCATCTTCGGAGTTCATTCCAGCCACTGAGTCTCCAGACTTGATTTCGCCGCAGACCTCTTTACCGCCCATCAATCCAGAACAAAATGCTTCTGCAGATCAGTCCTCTGCTCCTGAAAATGAGTCGGAAAATGTCTTGCTAAATTCTGATGACTTGGGCCGTGGGAAAAGACAGAAGTTTCCTAACACACGTCACAAGGATTTTGTTATGATGACTGCCCAGGTTAACCCCCTCGCTGTCACACCCTCACTCTCTCGGTCTTCAGGTACGCCTTACCCAATAGAGCATTTTGTAAATTGTAATACTTTTTCTCTTGGACATCGTCACTTTCTTGCAGCTATTACTGCTGGCGCGGAGCCCACTTCCTTTAAAGATGCCATGCGAGAATCACATTGGCGCCAGGCTATGCAAGAGGAAGTTCGTGCATTAGAAGACAATAATACTTGGACCATTGAGGATTTGCCCCCCGGTAAAACTGCTATTGGCTGTATGTGGGTTTTCCGCATTAAATATAAGTCTGATGGTACCATTGAGCGGTACAAAGCCCGTTTGGTGGTCTTTGGCAACCACCAAGTGGAAGGTATTGATTTTGGTGAAACTTTTGCTCCCACGGTCAAGATGGTTACAGTACGCACTTTTCTTACTGTTGCCGCTTCCAAAAATTGGGAATTACATCAGATGGACGTTCATAATGCTTTTCTTCACGGTGATCTTGATGAGGAGGTTTATATGAAATTTCCTCCGGGCTTTCATATCGGTCCTCCAGGTAAAGTTTGTCGTCTTCGTAAATCCTTGTATGGTCTGCGACAGGCTCCCAGGTGCTGGTATGCTAAACTCGCTCATGCTTTGCGATTATATGGGTTTCATAATAGTCCATCTGATCACTCTTTATTTGTCTATCACAAAGGATCTGTTTCTATGAGCATTCTGATTTATGTTGATGATCTTGTTATTGCTGGTAATGATACTGATTCTATTGTTGCGTTCAAAGCTTATCTAAGTACTTGCTTTCGTATGAAAGATTTGGGCAAGCTAAAATATTTTCTTGGTTTAGAAGTTGCTCGGAACTCTAGTGGTATTTTTCTGTGCCAAAGAAAATACGCTCTTGATATCCTTACCGAGACTGGTCTTCTTGGGGCCAAGCCCGTTAGTGTTCCTATGGAAGAAAATCATTCTTTGGCTCTTGCTAGTGACCCACCTCTCGAGGATCCGGCTAAATATCGACGTCTGGTTGGCCGGCTTATTTATCTTACTATTACGCGTCCTGAGCTGTCCTATTCTGTGCATATTTTGTCGCAATTTATGCAGCACCCTACACAGTCTCAGTGGGATGCTGCCTTGCGGGTTGTTCGGTATTTAAAATCTAATCCCGGCCAGGGTATTTTATTACGCGCTGCATCTGATCTCACTCTCACTGCGTACTGCGATGCAGACTGGGCCAGCTGTCCTTTAAGCCGGCGTTCTCTCACGGCTTATTTTATTTTTCTTGGTGGTTCTCCTATTTCCTGGAAGACAAAGAAACAAGCTACAGTCTCTCGTTCTTCTGCTGAGGCTGAATATCGCGCTATGGCATCTGCTACTTGTGAAATTCTCTGGTTAAAGGGTTTATTGACTAGCCTCGGCATCTCTCACTCATCTCCTGTATCGTTGCACTGCGATAGTCAAGCTGCTTTGCATATTGCAAACAATCCAGTGTTTCATGAACGAACCAAGCACATTGAAATCGACTGCCACTTTGTTCGTGATGAGATCCTCCGTCGTACAGTTGCTCCTGCTTACGTTCATACCTCCTCTCAATTGGCGGACATTTTGACTAAAGCTCTTGGACGTCGTCAGTTTAAAGTTTTACTTGCCAAGTTGGGCATTTCGAATCTTCATGCTCCAACTTGAGGGGGGGTATTAGGCTAGAATATATTTTTGTAAACAAAATAAAAAGATATACGTTACCTTTTCTTTTGGCTTGTGTATATTTTGTATATCCTTCATGTTAATTAGGAGATACTTTAGGAGATATACTTAGCAAGTAATTGTTGTATAAAATACCAACTTATGCAATACCAAAAGCAGGTCGATTGATTCCCTCACATCTTTCTTTATTCTTTCCAATTACTTTAATCTTACAATGGGAGGTCATCAAGGACTCTGTGTTTGGCGAAAGTTGATATTCTTTTTAAGCCTTCTTTATGATAGCATAAGTTGGTGTTTATTATTGTAACAATTTAGTCAAGATCTCAACTTTACAGCACAATATCAATTCCATCCACTTATACAAGATCTCAACTTTATATACAGCACAATATCAATTCCACTTATACATAGTATTAATTTTTTGAACATTTAATTACGTTTTTTGTAATGACTATAGTCCATTTGGAGTCCTGAGTTTATGACAGAAAATTTGATTTAATTATATTGAATTAGAGTTTTCATATATTTTGGTATTTTCTGAAATATAAACTAATAAACATATGAAATCGGATCAAATCAAATTAACCTGAACCTAATAATTTTGTAAACCGAATTTGAAACGAAACGGAAACAAAACCACGAGTGAATGGAAACACAAGAAAACTGAAAATAATTGCGCCCACCCCATTTGTATCCTACTTCGGTACTAAGTAAAAGACAGTACTATTGGCTTCCGGCATTATTAATTAATTGGCTGCCTCGCCATCGAACGTTTCTGGATAAATTCAACAGTTTCCGAGAGTGGAAGACAATACGTTGCCTGCCTGCTACTGCCTCTTCACTTGCCTTCCGTTCCCTTCATATTAATCAAGGATCTCCCATCCCGAATTTTACATACACTTAGCTTTCAAACGGCCGGCGCCGGAGAATTGAATATACTCTGCATTACGTAAGTACCGGTGGTGTTACGCAGTATATCATCCTCCAGTCTCCAGAAATACAGTACCGAGCCACCCACCGGCAATGGCTGCGGCGGCGGCGGCGTTGAGTCCAAAAGGGCACATAGAGGAGATCCGGCGGTGTAAGTTTTCGATCGGAGGAGAGCCCAACCCACTGACGGAGGACCTGCATCAGGCCGTTAAAAACCTCTCTGCTGAGCTCTACTCTAAAGATGTTCACTTTCTCATGGAGCTCATCCAGGTACGTACGTATACTCGTATAGTATAACCAGTATATATACTACGTATGTATGCATGAGCGGAGCCAGGGCACTGGGCCGCACTGGGCCGGTACAAAGAATATTTTTGAAAAAATTTCTACACATAATTTTTTGTATTAAAAATACAAGCATTTTTCAAATTTGGGCTGGGCCAGGGCCAAGAATGGCCCTCCCCTAGCTCCGCCCATGTATGTATGTTACTATACGTTCCTTATTACGTAGTATAAATTACAGAGTAATAATCAGCTTCATTGTTTAATTTATACGTAGTATATATATATATTCTCGATCATGCAAGGCCGGAACCGCCGGAACGGGGGAGAGCCTGCGCCGTCGGCCCGTCGCATCCCTTCTCCGGCATGTTTAGTGGGTATTATTAGGTGACCGGCCTTTAAAATGGGTGCGTGCCAATACATTCTACTATACGTACTACTACAGTACTACTTACTCCGTAAAATTTTGGGGAATTTCCTCAAATAAGCCTAAATGAAAATTTCCTCTAAAAAAAGACCACGAAAATTTATTGGAAAAAATGGGAGTATAATTTTATAATTCCCTAAATAGGATAGTTTTCCAATTCTTGCTTTAGAGAGAATTTTGTGAATGCCCAATAGCACTTAATTAAATTCCCTAAATATGATTGAATCTCGAATAAGATTCATTCAATTCACTGATCTTCTAATATCATTTTAAATTAGTATGTCAAGACATGAATGATAAATGATGTGGTACCTTGTTTGTGTTGGTCATTTATTTAGATAAATTTATTATACCACGTGCATTTTTTCATATTTTAATTCTTTGTAAAAGTGAAAACAAGTTATCTATTAATATGATACATAATTTTGTGAATGCTTTGCATGGACTCAGAATGCGGAGGATAACGAGTACGAGGTTGGCGTGAACCCCACTCTTGAGTTCGTAATCACATCCAAAGACATAACGGAGACTGGAGCTAAGGCCACACTGGTGATTTTTAACAACGAAAAGGGCTTCGCCCGCCAGAACATTGAATCAATTTGCAGCGTCGGCCGTTCCACTAAGAAAGGAAACCGAAAGAATGGCTACATTGGGGAAAAAGGCCAGTTTCTTCTCTATCTCCTTATACCTTTTGTACCACTTGGCTTCCCTTATATTTTAAATTATACTCCGTATATGATTTCGAAAACATTTTGGAGAGAAATTGTTGGTACACAGAACAAGTTTATGGTTTGTATTGCTAACAATTCATCTTAAAAACGCTCGTGACACGGATAATTTGGAAGTGTAAATGAGCGGGTGAGCACCTTTGTATAGTTTATTCGATCACACTATCATATTTCTTTACTATATATGCTTTAAAAATGCATTTTTTACTCTGTATTATGTAAATGGAAACAGATCAACACAATGCGTCACTCTGTGTATACAGACTAGGCCAGGCTTTTGCCTTAAACAGGCCGGGCCTGTTTTAGAATTAATAAGCCTGAGTCTGGCCTGTTACCTGTTAAAGGCCTGTTTTTTCGGCCTGAGTCTGGCTTGTTTAAAAGTCTGGCCTGACCTGAAGCCTGTTTAGTGGGCCTGTTAAGAAAAAAAATCAAAAGTTTATAAAAATAAAAAATAAAAATTGAAAAATCCTTTTAACCCGATATAAACTATATCCCTCAAACATTCACTAAAAAGTCTAATTATACAATATTTTTGCTTTGAATGTCTAATAATACATTTTTTAATACATCAATTACGTAGCTTATAAATTTTTATGTTCTTCAAATCTTGAAAAACTTTGAATTTCAATTACCCTATTAACCTATTAACACACTTATGATATTTCAAATAGCTAGTATTCTAATTTATAATACATACTCCATAAAAAAACTATTATGCCTAATTTGACATAGTTAAGTATACTAATAAAATTATAAATAATACAAATAAATTTAAATATAAGTAAATATATGCATATACAAACACACACACACATATAAATAGGCCGGCCTGTTAAGCTAAAGAGGTTTCAGAGTTGGGCTAAGTTTGGCCTATTCAAATAAACGGGCTTTTAAAAAAGCCCAAGCCTAACTTGATAATTAAATAGGCCAGGCCACAGGCCCCTGACAGACCGCCTAGCCTATTTCCACCCCTATGGATTATACATGCTGATTAGTAGAGCCTTTATATAATCTTTTGATATGCATATATTTACTAATGCTCTTTTTAAAGGCTTGTTAGCATGTCAAAAATGTCAAACAAACCTATGGTCTTGCAAAGTAATCAGAAGTTTGATCACATTTTTTTTAAATAAATAAATTACAATCTCGCCAACTTAGCCATCCTTTTACACTATTGTGCATAAAATATTCATGCAAGGGATTTTATCATATTTCTTTATGACTTTATTCTTAAAACTCACATGCTATACAAGGGCTCCTCCAATTTTGTTTCTCTTGATATTTTATGGAGAAATGGATAACCAATCCCATATAAAGAACCTACCCCATTTTGTTTGTTATTCAAGTTTAGTTGCATTTTTACAGAATGTTGTTATGAATTCACTTTGAATCTTTTGCTGAGAAATTATTTGTGATGTATATATACTCTATTAATTAACACAATGTTTGTTTGATTGATTGGTTTCTTCTTTTCCCTGAAAAATAGTTTGTTTCTCATATGTGCTTCCTTTTCAGGCATTGGGTTCAAGAGCGTCTTTCTAATTACATCCCAACCGTACATTTTCAGCAAGGGATACCAAATTCGGTTCAGCGAAGAGCCATGCTCACAGTGCAAAATCGGTTATATCGTCCCAGAGTGGGTGGAGAATGAAAACCCTGTTCTTGCACACATAAGACAAATTTATGGTTCATCAACTTCACTCCCCACCACAACTATGGTGTTGCCTCTGAAATCTGACAAGGTTGATCCAGTGAAGAAGCAGCTATCAAAGATTCATCCAGAGCTTCTCTTGTTTCTTTCCAAGATAAGGAAGCTTTCTGTCAGGGAAGACAATGCTGACCGAAAGCTCAATACTGTGAGCACCATATCCATTTCAAGCGAGAAGAATCTTGTCACGAGGAAAAACATCAATGCAGAGTCCTATGCTCTTATTCTCTCTTCTGATGAAGATAAAGGGAATGGCCAATGCTCTTATCACATGTGGCGACAGAGATTCCCAGTCAAGAATGGATGCCGAGTTGATCGGAGAATGGAAGTTGAAGATTGGGTTATCACAATTGCGTTTCCACACGGGGAGCGTCTCAACAGGGGAAATAGTTGCCCTGGTATCTATGCTTTTCTTCCCACAGAGATGGTCACCAACTTTCCATTCATAATCCAAGCAGATTTCTTACTATCGTCATCCAGGGAAACAATCCTACTAGACAACCAATGGAATAAGGGAATCCTTGACTGTGTTCCATTAGTCTTTTTGAGTGCATTCACCTCGCTAGTTAAATCAAGTGATGATGTTCCTGTCTCTAGTCTGGCTGAAATGTTCTGCTTTTTGCCAGTTGAGAGTTCCTCATATCCAAGCCTGGATGCTACTGTCAGAGATCCGATCAAAGCAAAGCTGCAGGAGGAAGATATTGTTCCATGTCAGTCGTATACCAATCAGAAGGTCTTCCGCAAGCCGTGTCAAGTTGGGAGGCTAATACCATTTTTTTGGAATTTGTTGAATGAGGCTACGAAGCAGGGTGTCACGCTTCACAATATCTCCTCTCATGGAAAGTCTATTCTCAATTTTGCATTTGATAAGGAGAAGTACAATAAAGTCTTTGACTTCTTGGAAGTGAAGCAAGTTAATAATGATTGGTATGCCAAGTGCATACAGGGTTCAAATCTTGTTATGGGTGTGTCTGAAGAGCTTTATGTACAGCTTCTGTTTTTTGTTGTGGCCTATTGGAGGTCATGTTTCTTTTCTAAGGAAAATATGGGGAAGCTACCGTTGCTGAAGTACGTTGACAGTAATGAGCATGTGGCCTTGTGTAGCATAGATTCTGTGTCTGAGCATCACATCACATTGTTTCTGTGCACTAAATCCAAACATGTTAGTTGGCTGATTACCTGGAACAGAGTATTTCGTTGCATGGGGGGATATTTCATCCCTGAATCTACACATACAGCGTTTGACAACAGTTCTGACGTGTTGAAGTGTATACGTGACTGGATGATAAATGATGTTAAGGTTAGATCTGTTGACACTGCTGAGTACGCACAAGTCATCTGTCAGTCACTAAGCCATGACCCAAAGCTCGTCCTTGCATATGCACATTTCTTATATCACTCGTACATGAAGGTTTATGTGGTCTCTGCAAGCGATATTGAGTCACTTTGCATCAACATGCCACTTGTTGATGATTATGGAAATGTCTTGACCCATCGAGAAGGTGTTCTTGTGCCAGCGAATGGAAGCAAATGGGTTCAGTTGATTGGCTCCAATCCTTGGAAAAGAGAGGGTTACATTGAGCTCGGAGAGGAGTACTTGCATTCCCGACTTGTTGCTAATGCATATACGAACAATGGAGACATTCTTGGGTTTCTTAAAACCTATGCCAGTGCTATGGATATTCCTGAATTACCACCTCCAAATGCTACATTATCATGTATGTCTTCACCGCTAACCAAAGAAAATGCTTTCTTGCTGTTAGATTGGATACGCAATAGGGGAGTGTTGCCAGAGAAGTTCTTGACCAGCATAAAAAATGGAAGTTGGCTTAGAGTCCGCTTATGTGGTAGTACTGGCTACAGGCCCCCCTCGCAATCCTTTTTTCCTGATTCAAAATGGGGTCCTCATTTGCAAAATGGTTCATTGCGTGTAGATATCCCATTGGTTGATCTTGCATTTTATGGTGCACAGATTTCTGACTACATTGAAGCACTAAGAACCACTGGTGTAATGTTTGATCTCAAGGAAGCCTGTGAGTTTATTGGGAGGCATTTCATGTCCCTGGTGGATTCTTATTCTTTTGCAAAACATGATGTCATCTCTATTGCTGAGAAATTATTTGTGATGTATATATACTCTATTAATTAACACAATGTTTGTTTGATTGATTGGTTTCTTCTTTTCCCTGAAAAATAGTTTGTTTCTCATATGTGCTTCCTTTTCAGGCATTGGGTTCAAGAGCGTCTTTCTAATTACATCCCAACCGTACATTTTCAGCAAGGGATACCAAATTCGGTTCAGCGAAGAGCCATGCTCACAGTGCAAAATCGGTTATATCGTCCCAGAGTGGGTGGAGAATGAAAACCCTGTTCTTGCACACATAAGACAAATTTATGGTTCATCAACTTCACTCCCCACCACAACTATGGTGTTGCCTCTGAAATCTGACAAGGTTGATCCAGTGAAGAAGCAGCTATCAAAGATTCATCCAGAGCTTCTCTTGTTTCTTTCCAAGATAAGGAAGCTTTCTGTCAGGGAAGACAATGCTGACAGAAAGCTCAATACAGTGAGCACCATATCCATTTCCAGCGAGAAGAATCTTGTCACGAGGAAAAACATCAATGCAGAGTCCTATGCTCTTATTCTCTCTTCTGATGAAGATAAAGGGAATGGGCAATGCTCTTATCACATGTGGCGACAGAGATTCCCGGTCAAGAATGGATGCCGAGTTGATCGGAGAATGGACGTTGAAGATTGGGTTATCACAATTGCGTTTCCACACGGGGAACGTCTTAACAGGGGAAATAGTTCCCCTGGTATCTATGCTTTTCTTCCCACAGAGATGGTCACCAACTTTCCATTCATAATCCAAGCAGATTTCTTACTATCGTCATCCAGGGAAACAATCCTACTAGACAACCAATGGAATAAGGGAATCCTTGACTGTGTTCCATTGGTCTTCTTGAGTGCATTCACCTCGCTAGTTAAAGCAAGTGATGATGTCCCAGTATCTAGTCTGGCTGAAATGTTCCGATTTTTGCCAGTTGAAAGTTCTTCATATCCAAGCCTGGATGCTACTGTTAGAGACCCAATCAAGGCAAAGCTGCAGGAGGAGGATATTGTTCCTTGTCAGTCATTTACCAATCAGAAGGTTTTCCGGAAGCCGTGTCAAGTTGGGAGACTACTGCCTGCCTTTTGGAATTTGTTGAAAGAGGCTACGAAGCAGGGCGTCACTTTTCACAATATCTCCTCTCATGGAAAGTCTATTCTCAATTCTGCATTTGATAAGGAAAAGTACAATAATGTCTTGAACTTCTTGGAAGTGAAGAATGTCGAACATGATTGGTATGCCAAGTGCATACAGGGTTCAAATCTTGTTATGGGCGTGTCTGAAGAGCTATATGTACAGCTTTTGTTATTTGTTTCTGCGAACTGGAGGTCAGCATTTTCTAAGACAAATATGGGTAAGTTACCGTTACTGAAGTATGTTGACAGTAATGAGCATGTGGCCTTGTGTAGCACAGATTCTGTGTCTGGGCGCCAAATCACATTGTTTCTGTGCACTAAATCCAACCATGTTAGTTGGCTAATTAGCTGGAACAAAGTATTTCGTTGCATGGAGGGATATTTCTTCCCTGAATCCACACATAAAGTTTTTAACGACAGTTCTGCTGTGTGGAAGAATATATCTGAGTGGATGATGAATGATGTCAAGGTCAGATCTGTTGACACCGATGAGTATGCACAAGTCATTCGTCAGTCACTAAGCCATGACCGGAAGCTCGTCCTTGCATATGCACATTTCCTATATCACTCATACATGAAGGATTATGTGGTGTCTGCAAGCGATATTAAGTCACAATGCATTAACATGCCACTTGTTGATGATTATGGAAAGGTCTGGACCCAACGACAAGGTGTTCTTGTTCCAGCAAATGGAAGCAAGTGGGTTCAGTTGATTGGCACTAATCCTTGGAAAAGGGAGGGTTACATTGAGCTCGGAGAGGAGTACTTGCATTCTCAAAGATATGTTGCTAATGTATATGCCAAGAATGGAGACATCCTTGGATTTCTTAAAGATTATGCCGGTGCTATGGATATTCCTGAATTACCCCCTCCTGATGCAACACTATCATGCATGTCTTCTCCCCTTACCAAAGAAAATGCTTTCTTGCTGTTAGATTGGATTCGTAATAGGGGAGTGTTGCCCGGGAAGTTCTTGAGCAGCATAAAAAATGGAAGTTGGCTTAGAGTCCGCTTATGCGGTAGTACTGGCTACAGGCCCCCCTCACAATCCTTTTTTCCTGATTCAAAATGGGGACCTCATTTGCAAAATGGTTCATTGCGTGTCGATATCCCATTGGTTGATCTGGCATTTTATGGTTCACAGATTTCTGACTACAAGGAAGCACTGAGAACCACTGGTGTAATGTTTGAGCTCAAGGAAGCCTGTGAGTTTATTGGGAAGCATTTCATGTCTCTGGTGGATTCTTCTTCTTTTGCAAACCATGATGTCATCTCTATACTTAAGTTCATCAAGTATTTGAGGGAGAAGTATCTTCCTCCTGGTGACTTTATCAATAGCATTAAAGATAAGAGCTGGTTGCGGACCACACAAGGCATGAAGAAGCCAGGGCAATGTGTTTTTCTTGCTGACAAATGGTCTGCTATTTCACAGATCAGCAATGTCCCATTTGTTGATCAAAAGCTTTATGGTCAAGATATTCTTATTTTCAAGGAAGAACTCAGGCTTCTTGGGGTAATATTCGAATTCAACAAAAATTACAATCTAGTTGTTTCCAATCTGAAGCCATCTGAACATTTGAACTCCTTAAGTGCTAAAACAGCTTTCTTGGCTCTCAAATGTATCCGTCACCTCAAGCTAAATTCCACTGATAGACTATGCATAGCACTTAAGGGTAATAGGTGTCTAAAGACTTCCGCGAATGGATATAAATCTGCTACAGAATGTTTCTTACCAGATGCAACTTGGAGTTGCATTCTACATGTTTTTGACAACTTTCCCATAATTGATGAGAAGTTTTATGGAAGCAAAATTTTTTCATTCAAGGACGAGCTCAAGAATTTGGGTGTGGTGGTCAGTTTTGAGGGTGTTGTTAAAACTTTTGTTGAAGTTTTTAAGCAGCAGTCTTCTAAATGTGCATTGAGTAAGACCTGTGCACTTTCTTTCCTTGCATGTTACAGAAAGTTAAAAGCAACTGCCTTCAGTTCACAGTTTGATGAAATATTGAAAAACATTAAAGATGTAAAGTGGCTTAAAACTCGGCTTGGTGCTGCCAGTGCCCCAGAAGAGTGCATCTTGTTTGATGAAAGCTGGGCACCAATATCTTCTATTTCCTTGTTGCCATTTGTTGATGATGCTTACTACGGCCCTGAGATTCGTGATTATAAGGTGGAGCTTAATGCCATGGGGGTCGCCACAACATTCAGAAAAGGGGCAGTGTTTGTTCCAGCGAGCCTTCGGTTGCCTCAGAATCCTGATGTTATTTCACCTCCTGTTGCGTTATCTCTGTTCATGTGTGTACAGAATTTACAAAAGAATCATGATAAGAACCATCCTGACCTGCTCTCTTCTCTCCGGGAGAAACTGAATGTTCAGTGGATCAAGACTAGAGCAGGTTACAGATGTCCAAAAGACTGTTTACTTTTCAGCCCAGAATGGAAAGATGTTCTGAACCAAGATGATGGACCCTTTATTGATGAAAAGTTTTATGGTCCAGAGATAGCTTCATACTCTAAGGACCTTCAGACTTTGGGGGTAGTGGTTGAGGTTAAAGATGGTTGTTCTTTGGTTGCTGAGTACCTCAATGTGCATTCTGATAAGACCTCTATTAGTCGCATCTACAAGTACTTGGATAAGAATGGCTGGCATGGTGATCTGATATCTAATAAGAATTCAAAGATGATATGGATTCCCAGTGGGGATAGTAGCGGGAAGTGGGTTAGCCCTCAAACCTGCATTCTCCATGACAGAACTGGTCTTTTTGTACCAGAATTTTTTGTTTTGGAAAAATATTATAGCAATGAATTGTTGCATTTCTTTTCCAAAGTAGGCGTTAAAACCTATCCTGCATTGGAGGACTTCTTCAAGCTTTGGAAATCATGGGAGGGTTCATCAGAGCGGAAACTGTCTCAATCTGAGTGCTGCGCCTTTTGGGAGTTCATAGTCACCCACTGGAGCTCAAAGACAAAAAAGTTTCTCGAAGATAATCTGAAAAAGATCCCAGCTTTTTCCGTTGCAAATGAAGGGATTTATTTGCTAGACAAGTGCGATGTTTTCCTTGCTGATGACCACTACATGAAGGATCTGTTCGAACAAAATTCTTCAGATCCGCTGTTTGTCTGGTACCCACAACCAAGCCTTCCATCGTTGCCCCGAACAAAGCTTCTGGATATCTACAAAGAAATTGGAGTTGGTTATTTATCGAAATCTGTCAAAAATAATGGTATCTCATCAATTGAATCTTCTGGGCTGGAAAGGGTAAAACCTGAAACGATCCATATCGGAATGAATCTCTTCACGCTGATTCTTGGGTTTCTTGCCCAGCCTTCTCTGGAGATGGATGCTGAGGAAAGGCACAAGTCTCTCATGAGCCTTGTGGACTCGAGTTTTCTGAAGATGGATGAACCCATCACCTTTGATTATTCTCTCTCACTTTCATCAGGGAAGATCCTGACCGCAAAAGCAAGCAGAATGATTCGGTGGGAGAGGGAGAGCTCCAAGTTCTTCATCACAGAGCTCGAGGAATCAGAAGGTTACAGAGGTGTGCTGGAGTATGCTACCTGTTTCTCAGAAGTCATCTCAGAGGGCATTTTGTGGGACAAAGAAGATCATGTACCCCAGCTTTCAGAGCTGATCAAGCTGGGTTACCTTGTTAAGTTTGACAAGGATGCTATCAGTTTCTTGATGAAAACCAAGAACCTGCAGGTTTTCTTGGAAGATGAACAGTTTCTCTCTTCTCTCTTTCATTCCTGCTGAATTGGGTATGGTCTTGTGTTCTTACCCATTGTTTTTTTTAATGTTTAATTCTGTTCATGTTGTGAACTGATTTCCTTATTAATTATTTCAGGTTGATGATGACTGAAGACAACACTCGTGGAGAATGATTTGGAGTTATATATGTTTGTTCTGTTTTTAATTTTGAATTTCAAATGACTTGGAGTATTCCATATAGTCTGTCCATTGTTTTTGGGGCTTTTGGAATGATGTTCCTATGGTCTGCTCGTACCTTTTGTTGTGCTACTTGAATATTGGAAGTGTTTTTAAAGGGATTATCGCCCACTCTGCTTGTTTCTTCAATTTGAACTTATCTAGATTCTCAAAAATAAATTACATTTTCTAAGCTCAAGAAAGAGTGAATTTGTATTTTAAAGTCCAAAGTGTATCTGATTTTGCAGACATAGTTTATAACCAAACTGTTAAAAGTTTTTTTTAAACACCCTAAATTTGAATATTGGGATTAAAAGGTACAGAGTAAGTTTTTTTGTTAACCTGCGTTTACTTGCATGTTGATATTAAACTATAATTGGGTCTGCCATTAACTCAATTTAAAGTATATATAACCTGGTCGATAAATTTTAAGGTATGTAATCTAATTTAAAAGGTCAAGCTAGAGCTTCCAATTTATTTGAACAGATTTTTTGGGTTGTTTATTAATCTTAGATGACTTTGCTTTAAAGTTCTTAAAGATTATTACCACCTTCATCTATTTCTGATTTCTTTTTCTGATTCTTCTTCTCGCCCAATACTCCCATGAAAAGCACTCTCAATCAAAGGCCTGCATTGAATAATCTTATAATCCTCACATATATATTAGTAAATTACTTCTCCGTTTATTGAAGCCTTAATTTTGTCACCTTTATTATCACTAAAAGCTAGGATGCTCTTTCCCAAAATCAAATTTTTGCTACAGTGGAGTTATTTGCTGTGATATATGTCCTTTAGGGTTAGATATATCTCCAAGAAAAATATTTCTTCCAGAAAGACAAAACGAAAAGATACTTGCTTTATAAACAAGTGTGTTTACGGCTTATTTAGGGTGAACCCCTAACTGGTACTTTGAAATTTTCTCTTGCTGGTTATTGAAGAATTTCACATGTAGGTCTTCGAGAACATGGCCCCTAAAATCATTGTCCCGCCCTTAATCATGTGAGCAAGTTGTCAACCCAGTCAAAGATGTGTTATCAACTCCTTTTGCCAAATCTGATTTAGAAAACAATTGGGCTTGGGTACACACAACTCATACACACACCTACACACTATAAAAGGCTTCATTTTTACCCTTTCACTTTACCCCTCTTTAATCTCTCTCCCCAATTGCCATGTACATACGCTGACCTCTCCCCCTCTTGTTCCTCTCTTCCTTTTCTTTTCTTTCTCTTGCACTCCCTATCCCAAATCTGCATTTTAACGGAAAAATCATCTCCCTGTTCTTGCATCGTCCGATCCCTTTATCGTCATCCCTATTCCGCATCATTATTGGAGAAAACACATGGTAATGAATCTCTTCTATTTTTCTTTTGTGCATTTAGAGTTTGGAATTTGTATATAAAGTGAAATGATAAATGATTTTTTTGTTTTTTTATTCTGCTTTTATGCTTAATTTATGTTTGTGAAATTGTTCATTTAACTACTATTCATGAATTTCTATTTGTATAGGTGTTCCCACGATCCAAATTCCACCTTCTTTGAGGGCTTGTGAAACGGCACCTTCAGGTGTGGGGTATCACCAAGCCATATAGGTTTGTATTTAAATATTGAAATTTTAGTCTAATTATTGTATTTTATTTTATGCTCATTACATGTTTGTTAAAATGATTCAATAAATACCTTTATATCTAAGATTTTGGAGAAGGAGCATTAGTAAATTGCTTGTTTTTTTACAAATTTGTTGTATCCACTCTAGTGTTGACTGCTATCTTAGTGGATTTTATTTCTACCTGTGTTTGAGTAGAGATAATTTCATGTCCAAGGGCTTCAAACTTGTGTTGTAAAGGGTGGATCTATAAAAGAAGATCTGAGGTATAATTACTACTACCTTTTCTTATTGAGTTTGTTATGTTTTTTTATTTTTCTAAATGACCATGCACATGCAGATTTTATTGACCAAAAGAGGAGACCATTTCTTGATTTATGCGTGCAAGGGCATGCTAATTCTTTGTTGTCATTGTTCCTTTCCGGTAGCTGATGCAAGTTTAACCAAGGTTTAACTAATCCAAGAAACATTCAGACTGTTATCTCTGCCTCAATCCTCCTTACCAAGAATGGTTGGACTAAACCCACTGGAAATGGGTCTGAGACTTATAATGAATAGGCTGTTCAGAACCGCTTTTGAATTCTCACAGTATGGAGCACAATTCAACCTTCAAACTCTCTGGTTTCCTACTTCATTGCTGCTATTGGAGGAGTTATGGTGTTGCTTTATTTGCTCATGTAGAGACACTGTCTAGGCATGTGGTCAAATTTAGATTGAGTTATGATTTAATGATTTATTTAGCTTGTTTTTGAGATTTTATGTAGTAGCACTTTGGATGTAGCTTCAAAAAAGATTGAAATATTGTATTAGCTAGATTTATAGAACTTGTCTTTTGTTTCAGTTGTAAATGAAATGTATTGAATAGTATATCAATTATGATTGTTTGGGACTTGGGGAGAGACAATAGTTTTTTATCAAGTCCATATTCACAGGCAAAACTTATACACAGTCGAAGCATCGTCTATATGTAGAAAATAATTGTCTGTGTGTAGTTAAAATATTGTTTGTGTGCTTGTTTATATTGTCTGTGCGTTATTAAAATATTGTTTGTGGGTTCATCTATTTTGTCTGTGCACAAGAATAAAGTAAAATGCGAAGAGTACATCTTTAAAAATAAAAACAAAGACAATTATTTTCTACACAAAGACAAAATAGACAAACACACAGATAATATTTTAACCACATTGACAATATAAATGAACAAAGACAATTATTTTTACTCACAGACAAAATAAACAAACACACAGATGATGTTTTAACTAAACACAGACAATATAAATGAACATACAAACACACAGATAATATTTTAACCACATTGACAATATAAACGAACAAAGAGAATTATTTTTACTCACAGACAAAATAAACAAACACACAGATGATGTTTTAACTAAACACAGGCAATATAAACGAACATAGAAACAATATTTTCTACGCACATACAACACAAATGAACCCACAGACAATATTTTAACCAGACACAGACAATACAAACGAACAAACAAAAATAGTTGTTTGGGTACATAAAACTATTGTTTGGATGCAGACAAAAATAGATTGTTTGTAACTATGAATACATGGACAATGCTTTAACCATACACATACAATATAAACGAAGATATAGACGATTTTCGATTATGTATAGATAAAATAAATGAACACATAAATAACAATTATTGTCTATGCACAGATACAATAAATGGTCACACAGACAATGCTTTAACCACGCACAGACAATATAGACAGACATAAATGATGTTTCGACTACACAGACAAAATAATTGTATACACAAACAAAATACATGTACACACAGACAAAATACTTGTACACACAAACAATACTATAACCACACACAGAGATTATAAATGAAGTCATAGACAATGGTTTGAATGTGCACAGACAAAATAAACGAAAGCATACAATGATTCCACCCTGCACATCCAATAAAAATTGGGACATAGACAATTCATAACCACACCCAAACAATTTGTATGAATATTTTCAGATAAAATTATCAAATACATATTCATTAATCAAGGAGCATTTTACGTACAACTTTACACATTCACAACAATGTCATAAAATGCTAGATCTCCTCCACTAATAACACACAATCATTTTATCTCGAAGGAATCACATACAATCATTATAAATAGTTATCACTACTACAAATCACACATTTCCTTTTCCAAAGCTAAACACGCCGCCATTTAAATTAGAAGATCGGTCATCTTAATTTGTTGATTGATCTTGGCCTTCACCATTGTGTCTTCTTTTGGAGTTGCTCATTGATTTCGACTATATTTCCAGGGGCATTTTTGTTTTTTGGTGGCGAGGTCCTCTTTGCTGTGATAGAAAATATAATACAAAATCATCCATATTGTTCCAACCCACACAAAACAAAACCACAATCTTGAACTAATTACCAAACAAAGAGATTAAAAGCCATTGTGGAGCTTAGCTTCCCATTAATATCAATTACGTAGTATATTTCTAGGGAGCATTGTGTCATCGTTGTGGGCCTTGTGGCGGGAAACTCCTCCTTCAAAGTAATCACACAGTAAAACAAACAAACAAACAAACAAATTCATAATAATCACACAGTAAAACAAACAAAAATATAGCATAACCTCAACCCTTTCACTTTTCTTTATCATTGAAAAATTAAATTAGCAACACAAAACTTATTCCTCCGCCCCCTTCAAAGTATTTGAGTAAGGAAGAACTGATTTTCTAGTCAAAACAAAACAAATAGCTACTAGTCCCTACTACATTCCCAATCACATCCCAAACCCATATATGGACATATAAACACCAGAGTCATTTTAATAAGCACCTTTTGGATATTAATATGGTGGATGTAATTCTTTTTGTAAAATGGGTAAAATCAACATTTCGAAAGTCCATAAATGAGTTAGCATTTTGCAAAATAAAATTAGCATTAAGTATCCTAAACTTACTTTTGATTCAGAGTAAATTGACTCTAGTCATTCATTTAACATATTTACTTGGTTTCATCCATGTACAATAATGTGTAGAGGCTAACATTTCATAAATAAACTAGGAAAACCATAATAATAAAATAAAATAATCAATCAAAATAACCATATATAACCATATCATTTTTTAAATTGGAAAATAAAAAATTAGAATCTTGAACTAATAAATTAAACAAGAGAGTAAAAGTGTTGGATTTACACAAAAAATTCATTGAGTCATTTCAACAAACATGTTATGAGCATAATTGTGAAATAGAACACTTGAACTAAAATTTCAATAACTAAAGCCTAAATTCTATTGCAATAATACAAAATACTCAACCATTAAGTGTTAAACCAAACGTAATATACAAAAAATATGAAATTTTAAATAAATCAAATCCTAAAACACACATATAAAAATCGAAATAAATTATTACATTTATGGGCTGGTTGATCGAAGCTTCTTGTTTGAGCACCACAAATCGGCCGTCTCAATGTCTCATCCTTTTCGTTTGCATCGATTCCAACTGCAACCAAACTGCTGGTGTTGGACTTGGACAGTCGGACTTGAGAAGAAA